TGCTGCCCACAATACAGTACAATACAACTTTATTTATAAAGCACTTTAAAAAACAATTCCACTGGTCAAAGTGCTGTATACTCATAAAAACACCTAAAAGCAAACATTAAACTAATAAAGTAAAACTTTATGTCTCAAGTCAATACATTTTCAGCTCAGTGGTTTTACATGGCTCCAGTTCAAAACAATTCATCTCCGTACACTGCACAAAAAAGAAACAAGTCCAAATCAAAACTAATTTCATTATGATCAAATTCATTTCAAAACTAACTCAAATTAAGGTCAAGGTTTCTTTATTGTCCTTCACATCATATGCAGTACATGTGGCGGAATGAAACTGTGTACACAGGTTCCCAGTTACATGGAATTATTTTACAGTCAGATTCAAAATATTTTTTAATTCCAATTAGTAAAACATTGTCTAAAGAAACCAGCATTTCATGTCAAATCTTTACATCAACAAGTCCACCTACCTGAGCAAGTACAGGGTGGTGGGTGACGGTAGAGAGAAATTCATTCATTCATTCATTCATTCATTCAACCTTTATTTAGACAGGTAAATCCCATTGAGCCTCGGGGACTCATTTACAAGAGAGACCTGATTTCAACAAAGAACGATGACAACACTTTCAAGTCAAGTCACATTTATTTATATAGCACATTTAAAACAGTAACTGTTATCAAAGTGCTTACCAAAAAAGATCATAGCATCAAATACTAACAACAACATATTACAGCAACATGAATAAAAGCATAAAAACATTAAATATAATGAGAAACAATGAAATACTAAATCAAATCACCCTGCGTTAAATGTCAGGGAGTAAAAGCAAAATGGATGAACACAATCAACAACAAAATACCAAATGAGATCATACTGTGTTAAATGCCAGTGAGTACAGGTGTGTTTTGAGGAGAGATTTAAAAATAGAGACTGAGGTGGCCTGTCGAATGTTGATGGGCAGATTATTCCAGAGTTTAGGGCCCATGACTGAAAACGCCCGATCTCCTCTGAGCTTCAGCTGGTTTTTGGTACGACCAAAAGCAGCTGGTCTGAAGATCTCAACGTCTGAGAAGGAGTATAAGGATGAAGGAGGTCGGAGAGGTATGAGGGTGCAAGGCCATTAACACACTTAAATGTCAGCAGAAGAATCTTAAAATCAACTCTGACACGCACAATGGACAACAGTGACAACAATAGACAATCATAAAAGAGGCATACAGATTTATTTTTTACAAATTAAAAAAATATGGCAAAAAATATCAAAATAGCTAGATTATAAGGCGAATATAGAAAACTAAAAACAGGAACATGTCTGCATTGGTCCCTGCCAGGAGTCCAACAGATTCTTAAAGACACTTAGAGAGGTCAAGGTCGAGAGCTTCAGATCTTTTTACAAGATATTCCAGGAAACAGGAGCGGAGTAGGAGAAGATCATTTGTCTAGTTCAGTCCTCACTGAGGGAACACTGCAGGTAATAATGTCCTGAGAGCGCACGCTGTAACTGCACTCACGCAGAGACATGTAGGAGGAGATGAATGAAGGCAGCAGACCAAGAAGTGATTTAAAGATGAAAATGTACCAGTGAGTGAGTCTGCATGAAGTTAATGATGTCCAGTTAACCAGTGAATACTGGGTGCAGTGGTGGGTACGACAATCACAGCCAGTTATGAATCTTAGTGCACCATGATAGACAGCATCCAACATCTGCAGCATCCAACATCTGCAGGGTTCTTGTAGGAGCGTTCATGTAAATAATGTCACCGTAATCAATGGAGGGAAGGAAAGTCACAGTTACAAGGTGTTTTCTAACATTCAGTTGTTTCTGAAAAAGAAACCCAGTTTAACTTTCAGTTTCTTTACCAAGTTTTCCACATGGAGCTTAAAAGAGAGATGTGAGTCGACGAAGATACCCAGATATTTATAGGAATCAACAAACTCAATGGGGACACCATTTGAGGATAAAATCAGAGGAAGAACTGCTGGGACCAACTTCAAATGAAAGAAATGACTTCCGTTTAATCCAAAAAAGTTCAATCTGGTCCTCTGGACATTAAAAAAAAAAAAAAAAAAAAGAAATCGTCCATCATTAAACAGGGGTGGAGCCTCCGGGTTCAACTGTCCCCCTCTTACAATGCTGTGATTGCTAGTATCACTCAGCCCTCTGTGAGCAGTAAACAGCCATCAGGTGCTAATGATCCATTGTTAGGCTGATGGTCCTTCTTGAGCATGTGATCAGCTGGTTTTGGTTGTCAGCAGCAAACTGGTTGATCCACTCTGAGAAGGTGCTATTTAAGAGACTGAGCTGAAAACAGCACCTCAGACTGAGGAAGTCTCTTGGATGAGAGACGAAACGTTTCTACATTTTTTTGCTTTGTTTTGTTTTTTTTTGTTTTTTTTATGTCCAGAGGACCAGATTGAACTTTTTTGGATTTTTCTACCTGGATTATTGAGCATGCATCAGGAGACTTCCGTTTAACTATAAGAAACAAACCAGCAGAACCAGGCTCAAGTTGAGCAGTTTTCTGTCTTGATGGGGTTGACAAGACCATAAAGAGATGCAAATTAACACAAATTGTTAGGCCAGGTGGAGTTTCTATAAGAAAAAACTGGAAACACAAAATTAATAGTAGCAATAATAGCAAATACATGCATGGAGGGTAGAATGATAAAAGACAGCAAGAAGGAAATATGGCCAGCACTGTATGTATAAGCTGTATATAGCAAAGGTAAAGGGGTTTATCAGAATATTCCAACCAACGTTAACCATAAGCACAACGTAACATTTGCTTTTGTTGTTATTCTTTACTGGCTGTAATTGTAATGAAAGCTGCTGCAAAGTAAACTTTAAGCAATTGTCTTGTTAATGCCATCACATTAAACTAAAATGGTCGATTGGGTTGCTATTGTTCAGTGAGCAGACAAATCTGTTCATAATTTATTCTGAGCAATCAGATGGTTAGGAAGTTCAGGAACAGGCAGGAGGCTGGCACGATGGAAACTCTCTCAGCCCCATCGTAACTTTTTCACTTTATCTCTGGACTGACAGTGCATGTCATGTTGCATTATTTGTCTTGAATGAGAGAAGGCGGAAAAGGCAAACACGATTAGTCAGTGCGTGCACTTGTTTTTCAGCAAGTGAATCAAAGCCTTTAGAAATGGATTAGTGAGTTATTGTCAGTAGCACACCCATCACTTCTCGTTTTTTGACAGCAGAGTGTATCTGCAACGCTGGTGGAGTAATTCTCTTCAGGCACGCAAAGGTTGCTTTGAGGCCGTCTGTCAGTAATAACTGCTGCATCTTTAGATGCGCTGGATTTTATTCTCAGTCGTATACTGTGGAAAATATGTCTTGTTTTATTGGTCATATATATTCTGCATGGCAACTCTGAAGCTCATTTTAGTCTGTGGTATAAATTCTGGACTAGAGCAGGATTTGATGGACTCCAGTTTTTTTCTAGTTTTCCAAACTAAAGCTGTGTAAAGTAAAGAAAGATCCCCAGTTTGCACAACATGCACATGGCAGTGAAGCTGTTCTGGTCCAAAATGTGAACAATGCACTTCATTTTCAATTTTTCCACTAAAAAAAACAAAGATTGTTTTTTTTTAACAGAACAAATGGGCACTCAAATATACCGGTATTTAAAATAGTTACATATTTTCTAAAAGTCTAAAGAGATATTTCTAATAACATGTTATTTACTACAATATTTATGTAATTGTTATGCAAATAAAGAGAAAAATACTTGCACTAACAATACAGCAAATGTGTCATACAAGGTAAATTGTACAGAAAATCCTTCTGAATGTTTTTTTCCCAACCAAAAAGGTAATACATTTACATTTTGATCCACTTTGAATGTTTTACTTTGCACCATTTAATTATGTCATTATGCATCAGACAGATCATAATTCTTGACCTAGCAACTATCTTCTAAACTGAGGAACCCTTGGAATTGGAACTCCTTATCAGTTTTATTCGCTCAGTCAAGATTTGTTGCCCTCTACAATTACAGAAACATGCTTTGTTTTTTCTGACTGTGTGCCAGCCTGGGACAGACCAGTTCTCTCCTGCTTGTATTTCTGCAGTGCTCGTCCTACAGCGTGCTGAGTGCTGATGATGTTTGATCAATGTGAAAGGGCATGTGCCACTGTATTGGCATTCACTGGCAAGAAATAACTTGCTGAATCAAATTTAAATAAATAATATTTGGGCTGTGGAGTTGGCGTAAAGGTATCTGCAGGTTTGTTCATTCTTATTTTTGACCACTGTTTTCCACTCGGGGACATACTTGGTGCTTCACAAGTCAGTCTTAAAACAGTTTCTTCAGTGGTAGCTGGAGATCCCAAATCTTATCACAGCAGGGCTGTATTTAGCTTCATTCAAGAATATTTTAGGTCTTGAGCACACACAGGAATCTAATGGTTCTTCTGACTACTATGATGCTTCGATGTTGGCTGTTGGTTCCCAAGTGCCTCTTTTGAAATAGCACTCAAACATGCAGAGGTTTATTAGTAAGGATTTTCCTTTAACATTGACACTTGGGGTTGGTGGATCAATGATGTTTAATCCAGGTTCTAATTAGCTTTGGATCCTTTTGTAGTGGAAATTCAGTTCAAAGCATTTCAAACTGTGTTGGTTGAAACGCTTGGTTGAAGCTAAGAAAGCACTAAGCGTTCATCTGAGTTGCTTTCACTACAAAACTGTTGATTTTAAAGCACACATACAAACTGCAGGGAGATTTTAGATAATGATACTCCACTGCTAATGTGTATTTATATATTTTCAAACATGGCACTCACATCATTTTCAGTAGTTCTTAGTCACGTTGAACGTACGTCCAGTTTCTGACAGCAGTGGTTCTTAACCCTGTACAGCAAATATAAATAAATGAGTGAATACAGTGCCCAAAGGTTTTCTCATACTGTACATGTTGTGTACATAAAACGTTTTTTAAATTTTTGTAATCGAACCTTTCTTTTCTTCTTGTCTCTCTACAGAAGAACATGTTCTTAAAACCACAAGAAAGAAGAGACAACCAGCCGGGGCCCCTGCACAAGAAAAAGCCTCCTGCGCTTCCTAATGGCTTGAGCTTGGACTCCTGCAAGAACAATTACCACCACCACCAATCATCAGACCAGGAGAACAACCCCCACCTGGCACATGCACAAGGGAAGAAGAACAAGAAGAAACATCTGAACAAGAAGCACTCAGTGGTGAGTGGAAGATACTTTTTTTTGTTTTGACACAATACTGAAATGATCGGTGCGGATTCAATTGCAAACATTACTGGTGTCCAATTTACTTTCATAAATGGATACATATTTTTGATGCTCGGATATTTGAGTTCACTGAGTTGAGTTGAGTTTACTGGGAGGATGGAGACAGAATCTGGTTCTAACGCTGGGAGAGCTTAACTTTTCCATGATTCTGAGGAAAGTTATTTGGGAAATGAGTTCACTTTATGGCAATGTTGCAATATTTTATTTGATATTTCTCTCTTATCATCTATGATTAATCCCAATGTATTCCTGAACACAATCCGTTTGTAGTTAAAACTTCTTTACATGTTCTGACGCACTTCATTTAAGCTTTAGCATTGGTTACTGGTTTAAACTTGTGTTGGATTAGTTGGAGTTTTTCCATTTCATGCCTCTACTTTGTGCCTAGCAGTTGCCATTTTGTACCTTCTGGGTGGGATTTTATACTCATGACTCAAAGTACTCTAAAACTCTTGGCAAAAGTGAATTCATATTTTTGAACCTAACTGGGATTTAGGATTTAAATTTTGTTTTGGGGGGAAAGTGCCCTGAAAGTATCTGTCATTTTTAATTATACGCTATGCTTTTTGTTCAGGCTTTTATTTGCTGGACTTTTTTCTAAATGTGCATCAGTAGATGAAATCAGTTTGATGAGGGCGGCTGTGTCAAGGCAAGTACGAAGAGTTGTATAGAAGGTGGTTTATTTTGTACCCGCAAAAATGTGAAGTGGTTAAATTGCAAAACAACCTGGAGCTGTTTGATTGTCAGTAATCTCAAGAAATGTTGAAAAGCTAAACTGTTCCTTGCACTGGCTTAAACTGTTCTGTCTGTCATATTTGTTATTCTCAAGTATAACTGGTTAAACCTAGGGGTAGACCAACCAATCAGCCAACTTAATCTACCAATTTTGACCACTTGTTTTATTTAAAAATCTACAAATGACCATGTCTGTACTTACACAATATTACCCAGAAGGAAAATGAAGCTGGAGTACAAATGTTTTAATTTAAATTTCACAATTATTTTGTGTTTATTACGTACACAAACTCTTCTAAAAGTGAAAACAAGTGAAAAAAAGAATTTCACACTTTATGTTCTTCTGTTGAACATAAATCTTTGCAAATAGGTTGTTTTTGTACAGGGCGGCACCATGGCTCACTTGGTAGAGCTGCCATCAACAAGAAGGTTGCCAGATCAAATCCCAGCTGAAGGCCTTTGCATGTTCTCTCCGTGCATGCATGGGTTTCCTCCGGTTTCCTCCAACAGACCAAAAACATGTTAGGCTATGTGTGTGTGTGTGGTGGGGGTGTCACCTCAGGACATGCCGATACCTTTAAGGTAAAAAAGGACTCGTGCACTACCACAGGCACAGGATTTACTTTAATTGACACTGCTCACTGCACAGTAACTTTAATACGTGTTCTTGATTGGGATTTTGTTGTTTATTTGATGGACGCATTCTTGCTACTGGGTGATAGTCCTTTATGTCATTTTTAATGTTTGGCTCATGTTGTTATGATGACTGAATACATTACGTCATTTATTTACATGTATCATGTAGACATGCAGTGATTGTTCTCTCTGAGATCAAATAATTTCTCTACTGTATTATTTCTTAACTCATCACAAAATTATGCAGTATATATACATATATTTATATATATATAATAATATCATCACAATGTCAGCACTGCATGTTTCCATACATGTCGAAATTAGTCTCTGCATTTAACCCATCCACCACCAGGTGGTGCAGTGGGCAGCTATTGAAAGCGCCCGGGGGGGCATTTTGGGGGTGAGGCGTGCTGCCCAGAGACACCACGTGATGTGTAGTGACTGGGGATCGAACCTGGGACTTTCGGGTCCCAAGCCGGCTGCCCTGCCTCTACACCATCTATATATATGTACTTTATATATACAATATGTCTGAGGAAGGTGCACAAGACTTATTTATTTGACACTGGGTTTTAATTTTTACTCACAGTAAATATAAAATTGCTTTGATTTGGGTATAGATTAGTAAAGACTGATATTTTTCCCTTTCTTTGTAAAAAAAAAAAAAGTTTTATGTAGGTTTTCCATCTTCTCCCTACATGTTGTGACATTTCTTTGTTTTTCTCATTAAGCTCTGCTTTTCCTCACTGATGTTGGAGTGTGGTACGTTGCAGTGTAACCGTGGTGAACAGCATGGCATGCTGTGTGGCCCATCTGCTTTTTGTACTGGGGGAATGATGGAACAAGAAGTGTGTGGGGGTGAGCAGTGAGGGCTTCGGTTAGATGTCCCTCCTCAGATCTCCATGTTACAGTTCAACCAGCTGCCTGTCTGTCTGCTCGTCTGTCTGTCTTGTCCTTGGTCAGCCTTCAAGAAGCTGTGATTTACAAAGAACGCAGAGGCGTAGATTCTCAGTCATCTGGGGCATGATGGTTCCCAATGGAAGGCGACTAAACTCGTGCTTCTCGAAGATATTTCAAGAAACAAACGTCTTCAAGAAACAAGAAAAACACTGCTTCTCCATTTCTTCTTCAGAACTGACAAAGAACTAAAGAATATAAATCATGTTATAGTAAATTGTTGTAAATGTAGAATATAAACAGACTACAAAATATATCGTTATTCGTCTTAAGTTTTGTCAGAATTGAACATAAAGCTGTAATATTTCAAAAAATGTCAAAACTTGAAGGGTTTGTTCTTTAATTAAAAAAAAGAGAGTCATGAATCAGTCAGCTTCCTTTGTCCTGTTTGTGGCTTTGTATTTTTGCCCAATTAAAAAAAATGTTACAGAGGTTGCTAAATGGTAAATGTACTGAGCTTATATAATCTTAATTTACCTCTACACACATTCATACAGCACTCTACTACATCTATACAAAGAGAATCTGAATCTGTGGAGACTAATCAGAGCTTTAGATCACATTCAATTCAATTCAATTCAATTCAAAAATGCTTTTTTAATCCCAAGAGGAAATTAAATGTTGATGTAGCTCATCATCCTGGTTTCATTAAAGAGTTGTTCTAGATGCTGATGGCTGTGGACAGGAAGGATCTCTTGAAGTGTTCCATCCTACTCTCTTAACCCTGATATTCATTCTTTTTAAACTTTTTAGTAATCATTAATTATTCTTTCGTGTAAATGCATTTAGTAGTCTCTACTAAAATTGATTAGTTCATTTGAACTAATCAATTTTAGTAGAGACTTAAATGTGTTTACTACATTGAACTGAGGTTCTAAGTTAACACAACTAAACATGTTTAGTTTCTTCTTTGTGTAAAAACTAGAATGGTTTAATGCAACGGGTTTCCATGCGATTTTCTAGTAAAGTCCACTAGTTCAGGTTAAGCGTGTGGATCCAAGGAAATTGGCTGCAGATGCCGATCCATCCACCCAGACCCAGCGGGCCTCTTGGGCAGCAAGACCACCTGAATGTTGGTCAGAACTCCTCCCTGAGTGATGGTCGCTCCTCTCAGCAGCTTGTTGAGCTCCTCATCATCACTGGAGGTGTCGGGGGATGATCCTGGTCTTCCTGTTGTCATGAGCCACGTTTCCCTCCAGCTGCAGGATCTCAGGAGTCAGTCACTCAAGAATCACCACCAGGTAGACGGAGATGCATCCATGGCACCTCCTTTACAACTCATTTTGGATTTGGGGCTGTATTTGAGATAATATTGAGCTTGGAGATGTTAATCAGCTGGTCTCGGTTGTAAAAACACATTGTTGTCATGGTTACGCTTCAAAACAAAAGTCAAAAAGTAACAATGTTTACATTAAAAATCCTTGCAGCTGCACAGCATCCAATACCAGAGAAAGTAATCGTCCAAAACAGAAATTTACATCCAGAAAAATAGGAAATAAAGTTTTCAAAAGCAATATCGCAGAATGAAAGTAACAGAGCTACTCCAACACCACCTTGGGCGGCTGTAGTTGAGTGGTTAGAGCAGTCGTCCTCCAATGCAAGAGTTGGGGGTTCTATTCCACCAGCAGTCACATATCAAAGTGTCCCTGGGCAAGACACTGAACCCCTCATTGCCTCCGATGTGTGTCCCATCAATGTATGAATGTGATAAAGCTCTGATTATTTTTTGTAGAGATCTAGTAGAGTGCTGTATGAATGGGTAAATGAGGACACAGATTGTAGTGTAAAGCACTTTGAGTATCTTGATAAGATGGAAAGGCGTATATAAGTACAGTCCATTTACCATTTACCTTGAGCAGCGCAATTCTAGAGCTTGTGAATTCATGCACGCTAAAATTCATACACCGATGGGGCATGCATCAGAGGCAATGAGGGGTTCGGTGTCTTGCCCAGGGACACTTCAGTATGTGGCTGCTGGTGGAATTGAACCTCCAACTCTCCAATTGGAGGACAACTGCTCTAACGTCTCAGCCACAGCTTCCCTCACAGCTATGAGGTGTCCAATCCTGGAATTTGACAGAACTTACCTGTTTTTCCCCGGCCATCCAATCAAAGGCAGGTCTCTGACTCTGAATATTTCACTCTTCCTGAACTGATAGGGATGCTCTGCCTGAAGCCTGCCAGAGGCTGTATTATTATTCATCATTTGGCTCTTACCTAAACTCTTACTTCAACCTGCTGGAGGCCACATGTAATGAGATCAAGCTAAAAGCACTAATGGCTGCTCTCTGGTGCAGGCTTGTTTGTGTACACGTGTGTGTGTTTCTGTGTGTAAATATTGGGTTGAAGTCTCGATTGTATCAAGATGGGGTGGAAAATTGTACATTTGTCTATCTTTAGTATAACCATAATGCGATGTTAAGCTCTTTCAGCTTTGTGGGTCAGTATTAATAAGCTTATCCTTTAAGCCAATAAGGTTTTCAGAAAAAAAGCAGTGTTCTGATTGTCGGATAAGAAGCTAAATCCGTCTGGCGGGGCCTCGCTCGTTGCGATTATGACAGTCACTGTCACAGCAGTGCTTTGTGGAACACAACACCAGATCT